AACTCAATGTCATATTGTTGTTCAGTCCTTCAGTCCCATCCAGCTCTTTACAACCTCATGGACTGCAGCATGCCAGGCTTCCCTGTCTTTCACTATATCCCAGAGTTTGCTCAAACTCCTGTCCATTGAGTTGATGATGCCATTCAACCATCTTATCCTCTGTCGCTCCCTGTTCCTATTGCCTTCAATCTTTCCCAGCATCAAGGTCTTTTCCAGTGAGTCAGCTCTTCACATCAGGTGACCAGTGTATTGGAGCTTCAGCTTCAGCATCAGTCCTTCCAATGAATATTCAGGGTTGATTTCCTTTAGGATTGACTAGTTTGATCTCCTTGCTGTCCAAGAGACTCTCAAGAGTCTTCTCCATCACCACAGTTCAAAAGCATCAGTACTTTGGTGCTCAGCCATCTTTATGGTCCAACTCTCACATTAATACATAACTACTGGAAAAACTATAGCTTTGACCTAAGGAACTTTGTTGGCAAAGTGATGTCTCTGCTCTAGGTTTGTCATAGCTTTCTTCCAAGAAGCAAGCATCTTTTAATTTTATGGCAGCACCGTCTACAGTGATTTGCAAGCATCTTTTAATTTTATGGCAGCACCGTCTAGAGTGATTTTGGAGCCCAAGAAAATAAAGTCTGTCATTGTTTCTATTTTTTCCACATCTGTTTTTCATGAAGTGATGGGACTGGATGCCATGGTCTTAGTTTTTTAATGTTGAGTTTTAAGCCAGCTTTTTCCCTTTCCTCTTTCACCTTCATCAAGAGGTTCTTTAGTTCCTCTTCACTTCCTGCCATTAGGGTGGTATCATCTGCATATCTGAGATCATTGATATTTCCCACAGCAATCTTGATTCCAGCTTGAGCTTCCTTCTGCCCAGCGTTTCACATGATGTACTCTACACAGACATCAAATGAGCAAGGTGACAGTATACAACCTTGACATACTCCTTTCCCAATTTTGAACCAGTTCATTGTTCCATGCCTGGTTTTAACTGTTGCTTCTTGACCTGTATACAGGTTTCTCTGGAGGCAGGAAAGGTGGTCTGGTATTCCCATCTCTTGAAGAATTTTCCATAGCTTGTTGTGATCCACACAGTCAAAATCTTTAATGTAGTCAATGAAGCAGAAGTAGATTTTTTATGAAATTCCCTTGCTTTTTCTGTGATCTCATGGATGTTGACAATTTGATTTCTGGCTCTTCTGCCTTTTCAAAATCTAACTTGTACATCTGGAAGTTCTCGGTTCATGTACTGTTAAAGCCTAGCCTGAAGGATTTTGAGCATTCTCTTACTAGCATGGTGGGCTTTCCTTGTGACTCAGCTGGTAAAGAATCCACCTGCAATGTGGGAGACCTGGGTTCGACCCCTGGGTTGGGAAGATCCCCTAGAGAAGGGAAAGCCTGCCCACTCCAGTATTCTGGCCTAGAGGATTCCAGGGACTGTATAGTCGATGGGGTTGCAAAGAGTCGGACACAACTAAGTGACTTTCACTTTACTAGCATGTTAGATGAGTACAATTGTGCTTCAGTTTGAACATTCTTTGGCATTACCCTTCTTTGAGATTGGAATGAAACCTGACCTATTCCAGTCTTGTGGCCACTGCTGAGTTTTCTAAATTTGCTGGCATATTGAGTGTAGCACTTTAACAGCATCATCTTTTGGGATCTGAAATAGCTCACCTGGAATTCCATCACCCTCACTAGCTTTGTTTGTAGTAATGCTTCCTAAGGTCCACTTGATTTCACACTCCTGGATGTCTGCCTCTAGGTAAGTGATCACACCATCATGGTTATCTGGATCATTATGACCTTTTTTGTACGATTAATCTGTGTGTTCCTGCCTCCTCTTCTTAATATCTTATGCTTCTGTTAGGTCCATACCGTTTCTGTCCTTTATTATACCCATCTTTGCATGAAATGTTCCCTTGGTATCTCTAATTTTCTTGAAGAGGTCTTTAGTCTTTCCCATTCTGTTGTTTTCCTCTCTTTCTTTCCATTGTTCACTTAAGATGGCTTTCTTATCTCTCCTTGCTCTTCTTTGGAACTCTGCATTCATCTATCCTTTTATCCTTTGTGTTTCACTTCTCTTCTTTTCTTAGCTATTTGTGAGGCCTCATCAGACAACCATTTTGCCTTTTTGCATTTCTTTTTCTTGGGGATGGTTTTGATTACTGCCTCCTGTACAGTGTTAGGAATCTCCATCCATAGTTCTTCATACATTCTGTCTATCAGATCTAATCCCTTGAATCTATTTGTCACTTTCAGTGTATAATCATAAGGATTTAATTTAGGTCCTACCTGAATGGCCTCATGGTTTTCCCTACTTTCTTCAATTTAAGTCTGAGTTTGGCAATAAGGAGTTTATGATCTGACCCACAGTCAGCTCCCAATCTTGTTTTTGCTGACTGTATAGCGCTTCTCCGTTTTCAACTGCAAAGAATATAGTCAATCTGATTTCAGTATTGAACATCTGGTGATGGGCAGAGTCTTCTCTTTTGTTGTTGAAAGAGGGTGTTTGGTATGACCAGTATGTTCTCTTGGCAAAACTCTGTTAGCCTTTGTCCTGCTTCATTTTGTACTCCAAGGCCAAACTTGCCTGTTACTCCAGATACCTCTTCATTCCCTATTTTTGCATTCCAGTCCGCTGGAATCTTTTTTTGGTGATAGTTTTAGAAGGTCTTGTAGATCTTAATAGAGCCATTCAACTTCAGCTTCTTCAGCACTGGTGGTTGGTGCATAGACTTGGATCACTGTGATATTGAATGATTTGCCTTGGAAACAAACCAGGATCATTCTGTTGTTTTTGAGATTGTACTCAAGTACTACATTTCGGACTCTTGTGTACTGCATTTTGGACTCTTGGGTAATGCAAGGGCTCCTCCATTTCTTCTAAGGGATTCTTGCCCACAGTAGAGGTATAATAGTCATCTGAATTCCGATTGATACACAGACAAACATCAAAATCAGTATTATTTTAACTTTGAGTTATAATTCTTGTTTTCTATACAATTTTAAAAGACAAGTGCATAAAAACAATTATAACTGTTCTGCTCATAATACATGGCATATAAAAATAAAATTTGTAACATCAATAAAATAAAGAGTGATAGCAGAGCTGTAAAGGTGGTTTAATGTAATTAAAATTAAGTTGGTGTCAGCTTAAGACAGGATAAATTTGAACCCATGCAGTCTGACTTGCAGAGCCTAGACTTTCAACCAGCCTCTTCCCAGAGACAGCTGCTCAGGAAAACGGTCAAATGAAAACCACAGAAAAATTTCCATTTCCTTTTGACTTAACAACGTTTGTTGTAATTTTGTTCTTTTTCATCTAGGCCATCGGGACCTATCTTACTTATCCCAGTGGTCCCTCAAAGTACAGTTCACTCTGCTTTGGCATTCAGTGAAAGTTGATGATAAAAGTAAATGAACAGGATTCCTCTTCTTCTCCCTCTCCTTCTGTTGACTCTGGAGGAACTGAGAAGAAAAGTGAAGATACTGACCTCCACACTGTATATCAGTTTCTTGACACTCATCTTTACATGATTAAAGACCTTTCACATATTTGTACTTTATAGACTTAGAAATTGATGACACATGGGTCCAGTATAATATGTTACAAGGTTTTATCTGTAAAGACTAAAGAGTAAATGTTCTAACACAGTCTGTCACTCAGCAAACAGTTGACTTACACCAAAGGACATTTCCTTAGATCCATTATCCTTAGACCCAAATGCCTTGTGGAAGATAAAGGGATTATGAGCCCCTCTCTATCCAGTCTGCAGGATGCAAGTGACAATGCAATAACTTATCCCTGGCTTTGCTGTGCCACAAGAGCACTCATTTTTTTCTGGGACAGCAAGATTTCCAGTACCTCAGTATGTCCTCTAGTAAAAGCCCTTCTCTGGGAGAAGGAATGGGCAAAGGAGGCAGAGGAAGCACCAAATATAAAAGCATAGTCTGACTTTATAAGGTCAAAATTAAATTTATCCCAATTTATAACATTTTCAAGCATGAGGCAGTATGGCCTTGCCCATGATCCCCCATGACTGTAACAAGTATTTAGAAGCAGGTGATCTCATTCAGAACATCCAATAAAACCTCCACCTGGGAGAAGCGACAGGGATTGTACCTATAGTTAACCAGTGTGGTGAGTCAGGTTAGAGTTTTAATTAGCACTGCAGTCCATATCAAAACACCTGGGGTGCTAATCAACTGAGTGATCCAGTCAGACAGACTGTGTGGAAATCTCAGTATATGAAACGTATAAATCTGTGTTTCTTTAGGCTTGCCAGTTGATTAACTGTTTTCCCTCAGGGTTGTTTTTTTTTTTTTAACAGTCTCATTGAAGTATAGTTAACATACAATAAACTGCACATATTTGAAGTGTACAGTTGATAAGTCTTGATATAAGAATATAGCATGAACCCATAACCACAATCAAAATAGTAAGCATATCCATCACCCTTCAAATTTTCTTTGTGCCACTTGGTAATCCATCCCTCTTTCCTCTCCTCAGGCCCCTATTCCCAAGCAACCACTGATCTGCTTTCTGTCACTATGGATTAGTTTGCGTTTTTGAGAGGGTTTTTTTTTTGTTTTGTTTTTTTTGGAGTCCTTTGTAAGCTTAAGACTACCATAAAAGAAAAATCTGAATCTAAGAAAAGTTTTGTACAGTAGAAGGTGATGTTTATAACAGAAATGAAGTTGATACGTATATGTTTTCTACTCCTTTTTGTATGAATTTCTGTTTTTACATTATTATTAAATAATACAGCCGATGTAAACATGGACAGAGGAGCCCGGCAGGCTACGGTTCATGGGATCGCAGAGAGTTGGACACGACTGAGTGACTAAGCGCAAAGCTCAGCACATACCTAAACATGAGATTTTTTTTTCAATTAAAATTTTAGTGATGTTTCATTTTTATATCCATGAAGCTACCTCCTGAACTTGAAATTGTTTCACTTGATCTTGGTTGCCTTTTGTTTTTAATTTTTCTGTAGAGCATATAGGATCGGGCAGTGCAGAGATGTCAAAGTGCTTAGGCTGATATCCTTGGGAACCGTGGAGGAGATCATGTACTTACGACAAGTATACAAGCAGGTGAATGTATTTCCCTTTTTCTATTCAAAAGTTAATATTTGTCAGTGTTAAAAAATTAATAATAAATTTGTATACAAATATATTTTTATTTTTTCTAGCTATAATAATGAATTTAATAAGATGATGAAATATACTCTAGAATACACTTCTATAAAACTAATTCTTAGGTTCATTGAATTTTAGAGCTGAAAGTTTCTTACAGCAATACTTTACCGTACACACAAATCATCTTGGGATCTTTAAAATACAGATTCTCATCTAGTAGTACTGGGTAGAGCCCAAGATTCTGCGTTTTTAACAAGCTCCCGGAAGTGCTAGCACTACTAGTCTACAGGCCATGGTTTGAGTAGCAAGGTCACAGCTAAGTGTTTGCCACAGATGTGGTCCTGGGGCACCCAGACATCCTCCGCTCTCTGGACAGCAAGATTACCTGAGCCAGGCTCCATCCTTGAGTATCTGCCTCTCAGAGTAGATATTCACATGTTACTATTTTCTGTATGTGCCTTAGCATGAAGACTGGAGAGGAATACCACAGAGATATCTAACACAAAGGTTTCATGTTGTATATAATGAAACCAGGACCCAGGATGCTCCAATAAATGGAATCATAGGGATAGAACTCGAGCATAGTAGCTACTGTGCTGGTGTTTTTAATATTCATCTAAAACTGCATTGACTCTGTGATGTCCTTCGGGTCTCAGTTACTGCTCCGTTTATGCCTCTAAACAAGGTTTATTTAGTCTATAACTGCCCACTTGAGAAGATCTGGAATGAGGTTCAAGTTTAATTATAAATGTTAAATTTGAATTACTCCCTATATATTTAGTTGGAATCTGTTTAAGAGCAAACATCTGCTACATGTGGTGGTAGTTAACCTAAGAATGATCCAACCTTAAATTTATGCTATTTTCTTAATTCTAAAAGTAGAATTGCACACAGAAATTTTTGTTTTTCTTAAAGCATTTAGCTCTGTAAGAAACTTTTAATCTTTTTGTTCTTTAGTGTAGCACAATGCCTGAAAATTATCTTTTCAGACATATTTAAGTAATCTTGGAGAAAAGTAGAATATTATTTTTTACATCCTTGGAGCAGCTCTTTAAAATACTATCTTTGACTTGTCACAAGACTCTTTTCTCAATCCCATTATATATATTTCCTTTTGTCTATTTGGTCTGTTACATAATAATATATAATAAAAAGTCTTCAGAACATGAAAGTAATTAAAGTTTTCAGAAGTTTGTATGATCTAATTGCTTATTAAAATAAACCTTAGGGAACATTCAGCCATACAACTTGGTAGGCACAAATAAAGATAAGGTGGCCATCATGTGAGAAATGGCATAAATGTGATTAAAAGATTGATTGCTTAGATTTTGAACCAAGGGTGCAAATGACAAACACATTCTAGCCTCACAAGTGTTCTCAGATCTCTTGGGGGGTTGGGCGGGATCTAAAATGATGTTTGAAAAAAACCTATAAAAATATTGGAAAGCACAAGAGTTTTCTCTGTGGGCCGGAAATGATAAGGAACCCTGAAAGACAAAGGGCAGCTGAGATCAGATTGAAGGAAGAAATCAGTCATGAGATTACTGGAAAAGATAGGTGCAACTTATGAATATTCCAAGCTTAGAGTCATAGATACTAAAAAAAGAAAGGAGCCTTGAGTTAAGTATAATGCCCCCTCTTTGGGGTATTATTAATAATCTAACATGATCTTTCCCCCATTGTACCAAACTGCAGCCAATGGAAATGTCTGCTCTCAACTAGGAACAAAACATAGAAATACTGGACGGAAAGAAGCAAAGCTCCAAATTTTTGCTGAAATAGAGAAGAAAGTCCAAAATAATAGATGCCTACAAACCCCTCCACCTGCTCCCTGCTTTAAATAATTATTGCAGTTGGCCTAGATAAGCATGTAAGACATTTGAAGTCAGATGAAACCCCTCCCCCCCCAAATAGTTATTATGGAACAGTTTTGGAAAATAAACACTATGAAAGTGTCCCTCAGAGATAACAGGTCCTAATCCCTGGAACCTGTAAATGTTACTTTATATGGAGAAAAGGATCTTTGCAGATGTGATTAAGAATTTTTTGAGATGGGCCCTAAGTCACAAGTGTTTTTATAAATAAGAAGCAAAGGGAAATCTGATACAGACAGAAGAGAAAGCAGTGTACCACAGAGGCAGAGATTAGAGCTAGGTAGTCACAAACTAAGGAATGCTGACAGCCACCGGAAGTGAAAAGAGGCAAGGAGTGGATCCTCCTCTAGAGCTTGGGAAGAGAACGTGGCTCTGCAAAGCTTGATTTTATTTCAGTGATACTGATACCAGACTTACAGCCTCTTGTAGGAGAATAAATTTCTATTGTTTTAAGCCATCAAGTTTATGCTAATTTGTTACAAGAGATACAGGAACTAATATGTGCATGTTGTATTTGACTCTCTTCAACCCCTTGGACTGTAGCCTGCCAGACTCCTCTCTCTATGGAATTTTCCTAGCAAGAATTCTGGAGTGGATTGTCATTTCTTCCTCCAGGGGATCTTCCCAACCCGGAGAGACCATGTCTCTGGTATCTCCTGCATTGGCAAGCAGAGTCTTTATCATTGTTCTACCTGGGAATCCCCTAGGAACTATTATAGGCACTGAAAAAATAACATCAGAGAAAACAAAAGTAATAGAAAAGAGTAGAAGATTTTTAAAAAACTATAAATATTCAAAAGGTAAGTGAGGTTATAGGATCCTAGAAATAAGAAAAGACTACTAGAAAAAAATCCATTAGAGAGCCAGAAAATGAAAAACTCCATCATGAAGGATAAGCTGATGTAATATTAAACTATCTTCCCCTTAAAAATGTCCTAAAAATATAAAAGCTACAGTCAAAAAAAAAAAAAAAGAAAGAATTGCCAGAATCTAAAAAAAAAAAAGAAAAACTCCAGCAATAGGCTGAATATCAAAGAGCAAAGTTTCATCTAAAAGAATGAGCCACACAGTTCTTCTAGATAACAGAGCAAAAAGACAGAGATAGAATACATGTAAGAAAACTTAGGAGAAATGAAGGTTACATCTAGGACTTTCAGTGTCAGTCTTATAGTTGAAGAAGTTAACAGAAGAAAGAAGCCCAAATAAAGGAAGAAACTTTTAAGTAGAAAATAAAAGAGTCCATCGGTTATATGAGCCTACTGAGTGCTAAATAGGATAAATGAAAATAGATCCACACTTAGATTGTCTTTTTATAATTGTAAAATACCAAGGATAAAGAGATAAATCCTTAAAATTCCCAGAAATAAACTTTATGGAGAGGAAAAAAAATTATAAGAGTACTAGAATTAGGTAGATACCTAATTGTTTTTAGCAATATTGGGCATTTAGGAGCAGTAACTTACGATGAGGGGAAATTATAGCTCTGTGTTGTCAGAGAATGTGAATGAATTTTTAATTCAAAAGTTTTCCACAGTGGTGGAAACTTTTCCTTTGGTAGTGAATTATACCAAACGTTTAATATTCTTCTTGAGAACAGAGAAGGGAACAATTCCAGCCTACTTTAGAAAGATAGAAGAATACTGAAGCCAAAATAGGCAAAGACATTAAAAGAACAGAAAATTATAGACAAATATGTCTCATGAGCATAAATGTAAAAATCTTTAACAAAGCCTCTGTTAGAAGTTGAATTGTGTCCCCCCCCCACCACCACCACAAAAAAATGAAATAAAAAACATGGTGAAGTCCATAACCTCTGGTAGCTGTGAATGGGATCTTACTTGGAAGTAAGATCTTTGCTGATGTAATCAAGTTAAATAATGTTATACTCTATTAGGGTGGGCCCTAAATTCTGGTATGACTGATATTCTTACAAAAGGGAAATTTGGATGCAGACAAACACAGAAGGAGGAGGCCATGTAATGATAGAGGCAAAGACTGGAGTGATAAAGCTGTGAACCAAGGAATGCACAGGATTGCCTGCAACTACCAGAAACTAGGAAAAAGAAAGGAAGGATTTTCCTTCCCTTAGAACTTGCAGAGAGAGTATGGCCCTGCCAGTATCTTGATTTCAGACTTAGACTCCAGAACTGAGAGAGAATAAATTTCTGTTGTTTTATACCATGTGGTTTACAGTACTTTGTTACAACAGCCTTAGGATACTGATGCAGCCTCTAAGGCAAATTTTGCAAATTTGACTACATTTTTATATGAAACGTCTATATGACAAAGGAAGTATAAGCCAAATTAAAGGACACTCAGGAGGAAATATTTGCCATAAATAAACAAAGGATTAGCATCTATAATATATAAAGAACTCCTACAAACCAATAAAAAGACTATGATTAGACATTTTAGTGAAGAAAAAATACTAATATATACATAATGCATATGAAAAATGCTTAACCACACTTACAGTTGAGAAATACAAAATAAAATAAGATTGCGTTCTACATGTTCTGCAAAAGACTTTTTTTTCTATGGGGTAATTTTTAGGGAGTTGGGGAGATTAATGTTGCTCATTATTGGTGGAGATACTTTTAAAGAGATGCTCATATAGTGTTTTTGGAATACAGCGTGCACTTATTTTAAAAGTTAGTTCAACAGCATTTTAAAATGCACTTTAAAATGTAGAAATATTCTCACATATGCACAGTGAAGAATGACAAAGATTTATGTTCAGAATTGTTAGTATTTGTTTGAAAAATGGAAAAAAAGAACAGCCTAAATGTCTAACAGTAACAGAATAACATATATTCTGATATACCACTTTATGGAATACCTTGCAACAGCAAGAATTTTTTTTAAATATTATAGAGTAAATATACCTATGTGACACAATCTTTAAGACATTTTAAGTGGGGCAAAAAAAGTAACTTGCAGAACATGTATACCAGTTGTGTTTGTTTATAAAACTATTTATGTATATAAAAATAGCTCTAACGGCATTGAAAAAGCTCTAGGAAGGATAAACCTAAATATTACAGTACTGGTTATATTGATAAGGGATAATCTGTATTGTTCAGGGAGACTTGCCCTTTGATGTTTTTGTTTACGTTTGTTTACCATAAAAGTCTACAGGTGTTTTATACTTAAAAAAAAAATACAGTGATACAATGACTGTGCTCCTTCTGGTTTGGAGCATTGCATACAATCTAGTTTGACATTCAGAAATTCATCTTTCACATATATGTAATTTATTTAGAAGCAAATATGTATTTACAAAAAGAGTTGCAAGAACAGCACAGAGAACTCCCAATTAACTTCACCCAACTTCTCCAGTTGTTAACATTTTACCACATTTGCTTTTTCCTTCTCTCACTCAGCCATGATCTTTATTCTTTTTCTGAACCATTTGGAAGTTGTAAACTTGTCACCTCTAACTTCTCTGTATTTCTCCGTTTATATGTACATATAAAAATAGCTTTATGCATTATAAACACTCAGTTTTGCATACTTTTCTGCAGCTTTCTTCTCCTTCATCCCCTACTCTCTTCTCAAAAATGTAGGTATCCAAATCAAGAAACTAACACTTATAGCATTACCTTATAATTCATAGAACCCATGCAGATTTCATCAGCTTTCCTGGCAACGTCTCGTTTCTCCTTCTGGCTCAGAATCCAATCCAGGATCATAATTACATTTCTTTTTGTGTCTCCTGAGTTTTCTTCAACCTTAAGTTACGCAGGCTTTCCTGGTCTTTCATGACCTTGACAGTTTTAAAAAGTAAAGCCTTTCCTTGTGTATACTTTCTCTCAACATGTCCATTTGTTGTTTCCTCATGTCCCAACTCAAGACAAGCAGCTTTCACAAGAATGGCACAGAGAACGCTGTGCTCTTCTGATTGCACTGTCAGAAGGCACCTAATGCCTAGATGACCTGGCCCGCCAGTGATGCTAATCTTGATCACCTGTCAAGTTCGTGTCTACCAGCTTTCTCCACTGCAGAGTTACCACTTTTTACATTTCTAAGTTGAAATGTATATTTTATGGGAAGATCATCAGAGACCATGCCAATATAGTCAGTCCTCTGTTTCCATGGTTCTTCTTTCACAGATTCAAACAGCTGTGGATTAAAGTAACACTTGAATTTGCTCTGTACTAGCTATTTGTATGGCATTTATGTTGTTCAGTTCAGTTCAGTCGCTCAGTTGTGTCTGGCTCTTTGCGACCCCATGGACTGCACCAGGCTTCCCTGTCCATTGTATTTACATGTGTTTACACAGAGTTTGGGCTTCCCTAGTAGCTCAGCTGGTAAAGAATCTTCCTGCAATGCAGCAGACCCCAGTTTAATTCCTGGGTGAGGAAGATCCCCTGGAGAAGGGATAGGCTACCCACTCCAGTATTCTTGGGCTTCCCCGGTGGCTCAGATGGTAAAGAATCCGCCTGCAGTGTGGGAGACCTGGGTTCGATCCCTGGGTTGGGAAGATCCCCTGAAGGAGGGCCTGGTAACCCACTCCAGTATTCTTGCCTGGAGAATCCTCATGGACAGAGAAGCCTGGCAGGCTACATACAGTCCATGGGGCTGCAAAGAATCAGACACGACTGAGCGACCAAGCACAGCACAGCACTGCACACAGAGTTTACATTGTATTAGGTGTTATAAGTAATCTAGAGATGATTTAAAGCATATAGGAAGGTAATGCTTAGCTTATATGCAGATACTAGGCCATCTCATAAAAGCAGCTTGAGCATGCATGGTTCTGATATACATGGGGGTCCCAGAACCAGTCCCCCTGATACCAAGGGATGAGGGACAGCTGTACCCTGTTCCTCATCAGCTTTAGTGTTCATTGATGATTCCTACCTGAATCAGCTACCACTGTGATGGTTTGTCAGATGGTGATTTTCCTATTTCCATTATTACTTCTTTTATATCTGTTGGCATTCTACCAAAAAGAGATCTTTCCTTTCTCTTCCATTGATTTAATCTGTGTGGACTCATGAGCTAGTATTTTAGTAACAAATTTTAGGAACACACTGAATATCATGAATTGTTTTTATGTTCAAACTTTCATTTTGTGACCAGTGAGAACCCCTTCAAGGGGGCTTCTGTCTCATTTTGGCAAGCTCTCATCATGCTTATTACACCTCCTTACTGTGGTGGACTGAATAATAGTCCTCCACATATACCCACACCCTAATTCCCTGAACACACCTGGATTATGTGGGTGGGCCCATTGTAATCACAAGGGTCCTTATAAAGGGAGGGGGTAGCAGTAGGGTCAGAAAAAGGGAAGAAGAAGGCAACATGATGACAGAAGCAGAGGGTCCGGGAGAATGATGTGAAGATGCCTCATTACTGGCCTTGAAAGTGGAGGGTGGGGTCATGTACTCTTAACGTGGTGAATGTTCCTTTTTTACTTCTTGCATATCCTGTATATTATGAAGAAATCTAAGCATTTCGGTAACCTTCCATGGGTTTTTTCTTAAGCTAGAAGCTACATTTTCCAAATACTGATATTTTTCCCCTTACCCTCTTGACTTGTAAATATGGTTTTGTTATAGTTACCCTAGAGATGGATGCATCAGGCCTTCAGTTTTACTTGGGCCACTTTGGAAAACTTAAATTTTAAGTACAAAATAATGTGTCTTTTATAAATTTTGTGATAAAGCTTTGCTAGGAGACAAAGATTCAGATGAATGCTTACAAGTTACTTTGGTGATTGTATTTAGTACAACCATCTGACAATAGAGACTTTAAGGAAGTGTTTAAGGAATACAGTGTTTAAGGAAGTGTCAGTAGCAAGGGTAAAATCATCAGTAACTGGGCCATCAAGTAAATCAGTTTCTGTCGTGATTATGTATTTCCAGGACTATAACCTGTATTTTGGGGACACATATAAAACTAATCAAATCAGTGTATTGATCCATAACTTATTCAAATTTAGGTCCCAAGGGCCTTGTTTTAAGAGGGACATCTGGCAATGAGAAATTGATACAAGTATAAATTTTGTGTTCAGCCAAACTCAGGTATAAATTCTACAAATGATGCTTCCTAGTGGGGCAGCTGTGAGAAAGACACTTAATTTCTCTAAATTTAAGTTCTTTTATTTCTAGAAGGGAGAAGATAATATAGGATTGTAGGAGTTAAATAAGAATATAAAAATGCTACACATATATCCAGTAAATAGAAGCTATTATTAGTAAGAATAATTTTAGTTACCTAAAGCAATTTTTGCTTTTGTCGTTCAGTCTCTGACTCTTTTACGACCCACTGGGCTCCAGCCCACCAGGTTCCTCTGTGCGTGGAATTTCTCAGGCAAGAATACTGCTTGTTGTTGTCTAGTCACTAGGTTTGTCTGACTCTCTGTGATGCCATAGACTGTAGCTGGCCAGGCTCCTCTGTCCATGGAATTTTCCAGGCAAGAGTACTGGAGTCAGTTTCCATTTCCTCCTCCAGGGGATCTTCCCAACCCAGGGATCAAACCTGAGTCTCCTGCATTTCCTGCATTGGCAGGTGAATTCTTTACACTGAACCACTGAGGAAGCTCCAAGGATATTGGAATGGGTAGCTATTCCCTTCTCCAGGGGATCTTCCCAACCCAAGGATCGAACCCAGGTCTCCTCCATTGCAGGCAGATTCTTTACTGTCTTAGCCACCAGGGAATACCAAGAATACTGGAGTTGGGTTGCTGTTTCCTTCTCCAGGGGAGCTTCCTAATTCAGGGATCAAACCCGCATCTCCTGCCTTGGCAGGTGAATTCTTTACACTGAGCCACCAAGGAAGCCCCTAAAACAATGAGTTATAGGGCCCGGCGTGCTGCAGTTCGTGGGGTCACAAAGAGTCGGACACTACTGAGCGACTGAATTGAACTGAACTGAGCTGATGGTACAAATCAGTCTGGTGAAAATCACAAAGTATAACTTCTTACTAATCCTTCCATCAGCAATAGAATTGAGGTTATTTTTCACTCTTTGTTTCTTTTAAGAAAAGTTAGAGTGTACATGGGATTAATCAAAGTGTATTTAGTATATACAGTAAAATATCTAATCAGTTAGGAGACACATTAAGTTGATACTAAAGTGGTATATGTCTTTAAGGGTTCCATGTCAGTGTTCTTGCTGAATTCACAATTGTTTCAGGGATGCAGTGTTTCTAAACAATGGTTGGATTTTTGCTGTTAGTTGACAGTGTAACCATGGCCACAATTAGTTTGATACCAATGTGGTTATTGTATAACTACTTTAGATTATAATTTAACTTTGGTGATGTAGGGACTATTTCTTCCAGTTTTAGTAGTTTCTATTGAAGTAAGAGTTTAGAAAGGAGAAGAGTGTTTTCAAATGTGTTCCTTTTACATTTTACCAGGTGGCTAGGCCATAGAAAGATCATCTTGAGTCAGTTGTTAGAAAACAGATAAAATAGGAAATGTAAGATTTTGTTCTTTAATAAAACTGGACAGATTATTTCACCATAATGACAACATCTGCCAGGGAAATTAAAATAAAATTTCCTCCCTACGGAGATTCTGCCTGCTCGAGCTAAAGCTGTGTATATACAGGGAATGCCAGGAAATTCTGACATATTGTTGGAGCAAACACTTCAAAAATATCTTGTATTTTTTCTGTTATAGCAACTTCACTGTGTGGTGGTTGGAAGTGAAAATGCCAAGCGATATTTTGAAGCAGTTCAAGGATCAAAAGAGCATCGAGGAGAACTTTTTGGAGTCTATAATCTCTTCAAACTGAGATCCCAAGGGTCTTGTCTTACAAGGGACATCCTGGAGGTGTGAAATTTTTCTTTGATCTTTTCAGTATTTTAAACATGGTTTTCTACCTCAGGAAAATTGCTGGTGCCTTTTCAGAGAAATTTTTGGTTTTCTTCATTTAAAAAGTCCTATATTTAGAATTTTACTTTTAGAGAAATTGGAAATGAATTATTATACCTCTAATCAAAGATTTTCCCCATGCATAGTTAAATTCAGATACATATACAAGATAGTATGACCTTCCAAGGCCATTTTCAGACTGGTAAAGAGAAATTTATCATTTGGAAAACAGCTGTTGAAGTCAGGAACTAAAAAAAGAGACTTTCCTAAGTAAACAAAAATATAAAATGTGTTTTGATTAAAAGTTAGCAAATACTCCCTGAGATGCACTCTCATGTCTTGTGGAGACTTTCTTTTTCTGTTCCCAATAAAAATTACACACCAATATTTCAAACTCTCCCAGTTATTTTCAAACTCTCCCAGTTATGTTCATCCTCAGGATACAGATGTTTCTTATTCTTAACAGGATATTTACATCCTTTAAAGAAAACTTTAAAATTCTTTAATACACTAGAATCCTGAGACCTGTTTTTCACTTACTATTGATATGAGTATCATGAAGTCTTGGCCTATACTCTTTTTAAATCCCTTCATCCTAAAGCTGAGGAACCTGAGTGTACTTACTATTGATATGAGTGTCACGAAGTCTTGGCCTATACTCTTTTTAAATCCCTTCATCCTAAAGCTGAGGAACCTGAGTGTACTTACTATTGATATGAGTATCACAAAGTCTTGGCCTATACTCTTTTTAAATCCCTTCATCCTAAAGCTGAGGAACCTGAGTGTACTTACTATTGATATGAGTATCACGAAGTCTTGGCCTATACTCTTTTTAAATCCCTTCATCCTAAAGCTGAGGAACCTGAGTGTACTTACTATTGATATGAGTATCACGAAGTCTTGGCCTATACTCTTTTTAAATCCCTTCATCCTAAAGCTGAGGAACCTGAGTGTACTTACTATTGATATGAGTATCATGAAGTCTTGGCCTATACTCTTTTTAAATCCCTTCATCATAAAGCTGAGGAACCTGAGTGTACTTACTATTGATATGAGTGTCATGAAGTCTTGGCCTATACTCTTTTTAAATCCCTTCATCCTAAAGCTGAGGAACCTGAGTGTACTTACTATTGATATGAGTGTCATGAAGTCTTGGCCTATACTCTTTTTAAATCCCTTCATCCTAAAGCTGAGGAACCTGAGTGTACTTACTATTGATATGAGTGTCATGAAGTCTTGGCCTATACTCTTTTTAAATCCCTTCATCCTAAAGCTGAGGAACCTGAGTGTACTTACTATTGATATGAGTGTCATGAAGTCTTGGCCTATACTCTTTTTAAATCCCTTCATCCTAAAGCTGAGGAACCTGAGTGTACTTACTATTGATATGAGTGTCATGAAGTCTTGGCCTATACTCTTTTTAAATCCCTTCATCCTAAAGCTGAGGAACCTGAGTGTACTTACTATTGATATGAGTGTCATGAAGTCTTGGCCTATACTCTTTTTAAATCCCTTCATCCTAAAGCTGAGGAACCTGAGTGTACTTACTATTGATATGAGTGTCATGAAGTCTTGGCCTATACTCTTTTTAAATCCCTTCATCCTAAAGCTGAGGAACCTGAGTGTACTTACTATTGATATGAGTGTCATGAAGTCTTGGCCTATACTCTTTTTAAATCCCTTCATCCTAAAGCTGAGGAACCTGAGTGTACTTACTATTGATATGAGTGTCATGAAGTCTTGGCCTATACTCTTTTTAAATCCCTTCATCCTAAAGCTGAGGAACCTGAGTGTACTTACTATTGATATGAGTGTCATGAAGTCTTGGCCTATACTCTTTTTAAATCCCTTCATCCTAAAGCTGAGGAACCTGAGTGTACTTACTATTGATATGAGTGTCATGAAGTCTTGGCCTATACTCTTTTTAAATCCCTTCATCATAAAGCTGAGGAACCTGAGTGTACTTACTATTGATATGAGTGTCATGAAGTCTTGGCCTATACTCTTTTTAAATCCCTTCATCCTAAAGCTGAGGAACCTGAGTGTACTTACTATTGATATGAGTGTCATGAAGTCTTGGCCTATACTCTTTTTAAATCCCTTCATCCTAAAGCTGAGGAACCTGAGTGTACTTACTATTGATATGAGTGTCATGAAGTCTTGGCCTATACTCTTTTTAAATCCCTTCATCCTAAAGCTGAGGAACCTGAGTGTACTTACTATTGATATGAGTGTCATGAAGTCTTGGCCTATACTCTTTTTAAATCCCTTCATCCTAAAGCTGAGGAACCTGAGTGTACTTACTATTGATATGAGTGTCATGAAGTCTTGGCCTATACTCTTTTTAAATCCCTTCATCCTAAAGCTGAGGAACCTGAGTGTACTTACTATTGATATGAGTGTCATGAAGTCTTGGCCTATACTCTTTTTAAATCCCTTCATCCTAAAGCTGAGGAACCTGAGTGTACTTACTATTGATATGAGTGTCATGAAGTCTTGGCCTATACTCTTTTTAAATCCCTTCATCCTAAAGCTGAGGAACCTGAGTGTACTTACTATTGATATGAGTGTCATGAAGTCTTGGCCTATACTCTTTTTAAATCCCTTCATCCTAAAGCTGAGGAACCTGAGTGTACTTACTATTGATATGAGTGTCATGAAGTCTTGGCCTATACTCTTTTTAAATCCCTTCATCCTAAAGCTGAGGAACCTGAGTGTACTTACTATTGATATGAGTGTCATGAAGTCTTGGCCTATACTCTTTTTAAATCCCTTCATCCTAAAGCTGAGGAACCTGAGTGTACTTACTATTGATATGAGTATCATGAAGTCTTGGCCTATACTCTTTTTAAATCCCTTCATCCTAAAGCTGAGGAACCTGAGTGTACTTACTATTGATATGAGTATCATGAAGTCTTGGCCTATACTCTTTTTAAATCCCTTCATCCTAAAGCTGAGGAACCTGAGTGTACTTACTATTGATATGAGTATCATGAAGTCTTGGCCTATACTCTTTTTAAATCCCTTCATCCTAAAGCTGAGGAACCTGAGTGTACTTACTATTGATATGAGTGTCATGAAGTCTTGGCCTATACTCTTTTTAAATCCCTTCATCCTAAAGCTGAGGAACCTGAGTGTACTTACTATTGATATGAGTATCATGAAGTCTTGGCCTATACTCTTTTTAAATCCCTTCATCCTAAAGCTGAGGAACCTGAGTGTACTTACTATTGATATGAGTATCATGAAGTCTTGGCCTATACTCTTTTTAAATCCCTTCATCATAAAGCTGAGGAACCTGAGTGTACTTACTATTGATATGAGTGTCATGAAGTCTTGGCCTATACTCTTTTTAAATCCCTTCATCATAAAGCTGAGGAACCTGAGTGTACTTACCATTGATATGAGTATCATGAAGTCTTGGCCTATACTCTTTTTAAATCCCTTCATCCTAAAGCTGAGGAACCTGAGTCTTGAAAACCTTTAGGATATTTCCCTTAACTTCCAGAACTTTGTAGTGAAACCTTCATGTACTGCATTGATTTAATAGTGCCATAGAAACAGTTCAAGGAGCAGTTAGTCTCTGTCTTAGTCTCTGTCCTTAAAGAATTTAGACCATGTTTATGGCAGATGAAAGAGAATATTTATCTAATATACACGTAACATTGGTAAGCATACGTTAAGTAAGTTCGGTAGTGGTTCAGTGGTTCAGATGTGATCACCAGTAGTTGGAGAAGAGGAAGGTATATGTTATTTGTATGTCGTGAATATTACAACTGTTATGCAATGTCTGATGTTTACTGCTGAGTTTTATTTTATAGTAATTATTTGATTCTGAATTGAGTGACCCATGTAAGCTTCCCCTTTTTCTTGTTTTGTATATGCTGGTTCTTTCATGGACTTGTTCTTTCCCATTCCTCTTCTCTAATCAATGATTTTGTGTCCTTCAGGCCCCCCTCAGATCATACCTCCTTCACAGAGTACTGCGCAACATACTAATGTATATTCGTGTTTCTAATTTGAAATCATTATCTGTAAAATATACTAGTATTACATTACTTTTCCTGTTTTCTGTTGTTGTTCAGTCACTGAGTCCTGCCTGGCTCTGCAACTGCATGGACTGCAGCACTCCAGGCCTCCCTATCCATCACCAACACCCAGAGTTTACTCAGACTCATGTCCATTGAGTCAGTGATGCCATCCAACCATCTCATCCTCTGTCGTCCCCTTCTCCTCTTGCCTTCAATCTTTCCCAGCATCAGGATCTTTTCTAATGAGTCAGTTCTTTGTATTAGGTGACCAAAGTATTGGAGTTTCAGCTTCAGCATCAGTCCTTCCAATGAATATTCAGGACTGATTTCCTTTAGGATGGACTGGTTGGATCTCTTTGCTGTCCAGGGGACTCTTGAGTCTTCTCCAACACCTCAGTTCAAAAGCATCAGTTCTTCAGTGTTCAGCTTTCTTTTAGTCCAACTCTCACATCCATACATGACTACTGGAAAAACCATAGCCTTGACTAGACGGACCTTTGTTGGCAAAATAGTGTCTCTGCTTTTTAATATGCTGTCTACGTTGGTCATAACTTTTCTTCCAAGGAGCAAGCATCTTTTAATTTCATGGCTGCAGTCACCATCTACAGTGATTTTGGAGCCCAAAAAGGTAAAGTCTCTCACTGTTGTCAGTGTTTCCCCATCTATTTGCCATGAAATGATGGGACCAGATGCCATGATCTTGGTTTTCTGAATGTTGAGTTTTAAGCCAACTTTTTCACTCTCTTCTTTCACTTTCATCAAGAGGCTCTTTAGTTCTTCTTCACTTTCTGCCATAAGGGTGATGTCATCTGCATGTCTGAGGTTATTGATACTGATATTGATTATTGAGGATATTGATATTGCCAGGTTATCCTGGCAGTCTTGATTCCAGCTTGTGCTTCATCCAGCCCAGCATTTCTCATGATGTACTCTGCCTAAAAATTAAATAAGCAGGGTGACAAAATAAGCCTTGACATACTCCTTTCCCAGTTTGGAACCAGTCCATTGTTCCATGTCCAGTTCTAACTGTTGCTTCCTGACCTGCATACAGATTTCTCAAGAGGCATGTAAGGTAGTCTGGTATTCCCATCTCTTGAAGAATTTTCCACAGTTTATTGTGATCCACACAGGCAAAGGCTTTGGCATTGTCAATAAAACAGAAGTAGATGTTTATCTGGAACTCTCTTGCTTTTCTGATGATCCATTGGATTTTCACAATTTTATCTCTGGTTCCTCTGCCTTTCCTAAATCCAGCTTGAACATCTGGAAGTTCATGGTTCATATACTGTTGAAGCCTGGCTTGGAGAATTTTGAGCATTACTTTGCTAGCATGTGAGATGAATGCAATTTGTGCGGTAGTTTGAGCGTTCTTTGGCATTTCCTTTCTTTGGGATTGGAATGAAAGCTGACCTCATCCATCCTGTGGCCACTGCTGAGTTTTCCAAATTTGCTAGCATATTGCGTGCAGCACTTTCACAGCATCATCTTTTATTATCCTTCATTTATCTTTTACTATCCTTCACTACCTGCTGGAATTTGCTCAAATCATGTCCATTGAGTTGGTCGTGCCATCTCATCCTCTGCCATCTCCTTCTCCTCTTGCCCTCAGTCTTTCCCCACATTAGGGTCTTTTCCAGTGAGTTGGCTCTTCCCGTCAGATGGACAGTATTGGAGATTGAGCTTCAGCATAAGTCCTTCCAGTGAATGTTCAGGGTTGATTTTCTTCAGGATTGACTAACTGAATTTCCTTGCTGTCCAAGGAACTCTGAAGAGTCTTTTCCAGCACCACAATCACAAACATCAGTTCTTTGTGCTCAGCCTTTCTGTTTTCCGCTGTATATAAAATAGTTTCTGTTCTCTGTTCTAATCAGCATAGCCGCTGCTCCGCTGTTTAAGAAGTGCTGTGTGAGACGTCGCGTTTGACAGGCTATGAGACAGCAAGCCCTCTTAGTCTGTGGTTGTCCTCAGTGTGTGTTGTTTTTCCTCCAGGACTGTTTATTAACGACAGGACCCTCCATAATCTTATATTTCGTTTATGGCAAAATATGCCTAATTTCTTGCTAGGAACATCATTGGCATTCAATTATCAAATTAAATTTTGAACTAAAATGGCTCATTTGTTATCAGTCAGAATTTAGTAAACTCATGTTGTGCTTTTGGCCAAATTATGTTTTAAAATATTATTAGTCCAAGCCCTATATAAGGGAAGCATATACCATAAAGTAAAAGAAGTGTTTTACTTTCTGTGATGCATTTTTAATTTTTCAAGGTTATAGAAAAATCCATTTTAAAATGTTTTAAGATACAGAAACTTGAGTTTATAGAGCACTTTTAATATGAAGATTTCTGGGCATTTTTGTTCTGTCTTACATTGACTTTCTTTTAATGGTTTCCCTTTAGAATATATAGAGAGAACTAATTTCACAAATATTGAGTATGTGCTAAATGTCCAATACTATACATCATAGAGCTAGGCATACAGAAATTAATAAAATAGATAAAAAGTCCTACCTATAAAAATTTACATTCTATTTGGGAGAAACAATAATAAAGAGAAAAAATAACTGAAGTTAGTATATCATGATGACAGATTCTAAAGATAAATATAGTGCAAGTAGAAGATGAATAAATTCTAGAGATCTAATACACAGCTTGGTGAGTATTGTCAACAATACTATGTTATATACCCCAGAACTGCCTAAGGACTAGATCTTAAATGTTCTCACCACATAAAAGAAATGATAATTATATGATACATTAGAGGTGTTAGCTAAAGCTTTGATGGTAATCATATTACAATATATGCACATGCGTGCTCAGTCATGTCTGACTCTTTGTGGTGTAATCGACTGTAGCCCACCAAGCTCCTCTGTCCCTGGGTTGCCGTTTCCTACTCCAGGGGATCTTCCTTACCCAAGGATCAAACCCATGTCTCTTGCATTTCCTGCATTGCTAGGTGAATTCTTTACCACTGAGCCACTTGAGAAGCCCCACATTACAATATATAAATATATGAAATTAATACTCTGTAGACCTTAAGTGTACATGCTGTAATATGTTAAATATATCTCAAAAAAAAAAAAAAAAAGATAGAGCCAGGAAACAAAATGGGGAGACTGTCAAGGAAAGAACATTACAATTTTAGATGGAGTAGCCGAGGAAGCATTCACTGTGAGGTTGCATTTGACTCTTTGAAGAGACAAGGAAGAAGTGTTTTAGACAGAAAAACAATGCAAAGGCCCTCAGAGCATGCTCAGCATGATTTCAAAATGGCAAGGAAGCCAAAGTGGCCAGAGTGTAGTAACAAGAGAGCCAAAGATGGAGCCAGTGAGATGACAGGAAGCCAGATCCTGCAGGAACTTTGGCTTTGACTTTGAGTGAGAACAAAAGCAATTGGAGTTCTGAATAGCAGAATGACATAGTATAATCTATACTGTTTATTCTAAAGATTAAGAATTGGACTATAGAAGTACAAGAGCAGAAGCAAGAAGCCAGGTAGGAAGATACTGCAACAGTCTAGCCAAGAGATGGTGGTTTGGGCCAGAGGATAGTGGTGTGTACCCTGAGTCACTGACAACATCTGCTGATGGAGTAGATATAAGGTATGTAGAAAAAGCAATGAAGGATGACTCCAGGATATTTATGGTCTTCCCGTGTGGCACTGGTGCTAAAGAATCCATCTGTCAATTCAGGAGACACCAAGAGATGCAGGTTCGATCTCTGAGTCAGGAAGATCCCCTGGAGGAGGGCATAGCAGTCCACTCCAGTATTCTTGCCTGCAGAAGCTCTTGGACGGAGAAGCCTGGTGGGCTACGGCCCATAGAGTCCCAAAGAGTCAGACATGACTGAAGTGACTTAACACACATGCACACCGGGGTGTTTGGACTGAGCAGCAGCAGAGTGGAGTTGCCATTTACCTATCACTGAGGGGCTCTGACAGCTTGAAGACTTCTGGTGCTGCCAGTTACACCTATTGTATTTGATTTCTGTTGATGAGAAAAAAAGGAGTAGCAGGAAGGAGGCTCCTCACTCCCTTAACGTGATAGCTTCTGGGCATTGGTAGAAAAGATCTTATTCAGGAACTCTTCATCATTCTTTCAAATTCAGTAGGGAAGATTCTCACTTGTTGCCCTGGGTACCAGGTAACCGGAACCATATCACTGGTGTATTATGAACACTGGTGTATTCATAAATTGGATATTTGTAACTCTGGTGATGATAATGTTATTTCCCCTTGTTCTATCAACAGATAGACTTGAAAAGAGCAATAAATGTATTTCCTTTTGAAGAAGAATTTAGTATTCTAGAATCTAGGCCATTAAATATATCTCTGCTAAATGATATACCAAAAGCTGTAAAAGCATACTTTTCCTAAAAGATGTAGCTAGCCTCTTATAATATTATGATTTTTTTAGTTTTATATAAGATGGACATTTTCCTTTTGATATCTGCTTCACTGAAGAAATCAATAAACATCTTTTAATGAATATGAAAGATAAGCACACTAGCAACATAAGCTAAAATACTAAGTTCCCAATGCCCAGTATTTTCTATGATGATGTAACCTTAGAGTTACTGCAATGTTATAGAATATTTATTTATTTACATTATATAAAATATTATATTACATACCAAGTTATATAGTTATCATATAGACATGGTTATTATGGGCTACTGGGTAAATTTTTAGCATTTTTTTCATTCTCCCTCCCTCCTAGGGCTTTTAGTGGAGTTTCCTGAAAAATGGTATTAATTTTCTATCTGAAAATGTAAGCCTGTGATAAGAATGAGTTTTTTATGGGCCCAGCAGATTTCTACTGTGCTTCTATACTATCTAAGAATTATGAGCATTTAAAAATATATATATATATGAATTCCTTAATTAGCAAATTGAAAAATAGCATTAAGAGAGTTGAAGCAAGCTGTACTCAGTTTACTTATTTATTTGTGTTTTTGCCACCCCATGTGGTCTGAAGGATCTTAGTTCCCCAGACAGGGGTTGAACCAGGCCCACAGCAGTGAAATTGCAGAGTCATAACCACTGAGAAAGTGGAAGTGAAAGAAAGTGAAAGTTGCTCAGTCATGTCAGACTCTTTGCGACTCCGTGAACTGCAGCCCGCCAGGCTCCTCTGTCCGTGGGATTCTTCAGGCAAGAATGCTGAAGTGGGTAGCCGCTCCCTTCTCCACTGAACCGCCAGGGAATTCCCTGCATTCAGTTTTCCTAACTCTTAAGTTTCATCATGCCATTGCTCTTGTTTATCTGGTTGTTTCTACTTTATATATTTTATACAGTGGTTTGCATTTTTTGCAGAGAGAAGGCAAGGTGGAAGCTGGGATCATGACAGCTACAACGTGGTTGAAAGAGGAGCCTCCAGTACACAAGCTAGAAACAGTAAGCAGTTTTTTAATCTAGAGCTCCTGGGAAACATGCACATGATGATTTTAAGTTTCTTTTCTTTTTCCTTCATTTTTCAATGTGTAACGAAAATGAATTTTTTAAAAAGTTAGGGACACAAAGTCAAAGGACTGTCAGTAAAATTAATAATTTAGGCTAATATTTTATATCATTAAAAAAAATTCAGGAGCAATCTTCAAGTGTTTAGATCCAAACTGGAATTTTAACTATACCAAACTATAAGTCCAAAAATAAATGCACTGTGTAGATGACCAGTCTAACCTAAGCAACAAATTAAATGGAAAAATCTCAATCGTATATATTTAAGATTATTAAATCCAGACATCAAACTCATTCTCTGACTCAAGCAGATATTTGAGTCCTTTGTCCTGTGACAGTTTTAGTAGTTTGTCATCTCATATTCTACAAAAATTTATGTTGTCATCATAAAGCCTTTTTAAAAGTAAAGAGTGTGTGTAAAATTTTAATTGCAGTTGCTATTTTTGTCTTTTTTTTTTTTTTAAGAATTTAACTCTAAATTTATAGTAGCCCAAAGATACAATGGGCTATATGATAACTATATGTTATGATATAATATACATATGATGCAGCAGTATATTATATAGCTGTATGATAACTATATGCAGTGATAACTATTAATTTGTAATACCCCTATAAATTTATATCATCCATTATGTGGTGAATATTTTTTTTAATTTATAGAAATACATGAATATTAAATGTTGGCAGAAGTATTACCAGATTACTGAATAATACTTCCCCATATCTTTCACTAATAAAGCCTCAGTTTTCAGAAACTGAAGAATATATTTAGCTCTAATTGATGTGAAAAAAATAAATATTAGGTTTAAATTTATAATAAATATTACCTCAAAATGGCTCTAGTATCTTATTTATTTATGGTGGTCAAGATCCTGTCCAATCTTATTTTTAATGAACTAGAAATATTTTCTAGTTGGGAATTCTTTAACTCCTACAAATTTGTTTTGCTTTTAAAGCATGGTTGAAAGTATCAGCTGGACTGTAGTAAGCAACAGGTTATGTGCTTTTCACTTTGAGGCCAGATTCAATCTCTGCATCTTCGAAGCTAACAGTTCTGCTCTGTGTTTTCCCTGTAAATAATTTGATCACTTTATATTCTAGTTTTAACTTTTATTTATTCGGAAAGTTATTCAACTTGAAAAGAGTATACCAGACTGTAATATTAAATCCTTTATATTTGTTTGCCACATGTTTTACTTTTAGAAAATACCAAGTGATATACTTGTATATAAATTATCTGCCCAAATTAATTCCCTTCCAGTGTAATAGGTTTGATATCGTTATTTTGACATTTTCTAATGTTTCTGTCATTGCCTCTTCTATAGGCTAGGGAGCCGGACTGTCAGGAACACAGAGGTCCAGAACAACTAGCAGAAGCAGCATGTGATCTTTGCAGTGATTTTAGTGAAGATGAATCAGCAGGCAGCTCAGTAACAAAGCCTGCTAAAAACAAAGCATCTTACTCAAGTAAAGCTTCAGTTTCTCCTGGGCAGCTTAGCCTACTCCAGTGCGGTTTCTCTAAATTGTTTGAGACAAAATGTGAAACAGTTGAGGATGTTGATGAAAATATTGCCTCTGACAATGAAAGTTCTGATGAACAGCCCACATGCCTTTCAACAGAAGCCAAAAATGCTGGTTGTCAGAAGAGTCAAGACTCTCTTGGTACTTTGAAACATCAGAAATTAGCTAATGTCCTAAATCCAAATGGAAAATGTGTTTTTGATAAAAGTGAGAAAATTTTAGAAGAAAATATTCCTTCTGAGTCTGATGATGAGAAAAACTTTAAAAACACAGTTGACCACCATTGCATTTTACAGAATGTCACAGAATCAGAAGATAGTGATATCATCTTTCCCACACAGTATACAACTCAGAGATTCCTTAAGAAGAATATAAGGTTTAAGCTACCTGTGGATGGATCTGAAGATTCTGAATCAGAAAATCCTGTAAATATAAAAAATAATGGTGATGATACAAAGACCAATGTCAGAGGAAATGGGCTAATTTCAAAACAGTTAAATCTTGAAATTGAGACCCTGAAATCTAATACAAAAAGAAAAGGTAGTAGTGATATTAGTGATGAATCTGATGACATTGAAGTTTTCTGCAAGTCAAGAGTAAGAAAGCAAAGAGCTACTAGTTCTCTGAGGTTTAAGAGAAAAAAGGAAAATAAAAGGGAACGTTACACTTTTCCAAAAACAAGGAAGAAAGCAAACCAGCGGTGTGCAGCAGATGAAGATTGTAACTCTCAGACTATTGATGAGTTTTCATCCTCAGATGATAATTTATCTGTTAGCCACATCAGTTTCTCTAAACAAAACCATAGACCAAAAACTATAAAAGATGAAATCAGTGTCTCTTCAAAATTAGCTAACCATAAAAGAAATAACACTTTCATACCAAGAAAACCAATGAAATTTTCAAATGAGAACATTGTCAATCGGAATCGGATATGTGAATCAATGGATAAATTTTTAGGTAACTGCAAATCCATTCTGAAAACTTTTCTTTACATATTTGTTGTATACAATCAAATAGCTCTTAAGAGATGCTTGAATTAGTTTGAATTAACTCTGCAATCGAGGTGCTATATTGAGATACAAATGAGGAAGTGAGTAGTGACAGGATAAAGGGAAGACCTAGGTCAGGATAGAGAAGTTTGTCATGTATACCAGACTCCTTCTATGTAACCCATCTGAATCACTATAAACTAATTATTTTAACTTTTTTGCATTTTTATGGCTTTATCAAATGTGTATATATTTGATACAGTGTATAACCCTTAACATTATAGTTTAGTCTCATTAAAAATTTTTATATAGTTTATTTTAATGTATAAGATTCTTCCTCCATCCCTTTCTTTACAGTTTATAAGATTTTTTTTCTTTTTTTCTCTTTATATGATTTCTTTGTTGAAGAAACCAGGCCAGTTATTTTCTGCAGTTTGCATTTTGCTGATTGTGTGCTGTTGGTGCAGGTGAACATATTCCTCACCCCTCTGTACTTCCTGAAAATGAGCAGTTGACCTCTGACACTGTATCAAACTCAGGTTCAGTCCCCTTGGCAAGACAAAAGGGGACTAGTGTTTGACAGAATGTTTGCTGGTTTGTCTCTTTATGATCTTAGCAGCCATTTATTCACTCAGAGTAGCACAATGATGGTTTCTACTTCTCATTTCTTTTTCATTTGTTAGAATGCTTTTGTGAGGCAGTACTTCCCCTCATCTACTATTACTTACCCCGTGATACAGTTCATATAGATAAGATAGGAAAAGTCATTTCTTTACCAACTTTAGTAAATGAATTTTCTATCATCCTTCAATTTCTTATCATTGTGAATTAATTGATTCAAGCATATTTAATGAGTCTAAATTCATTTCAGTTAGTACCATTATTGAGGCTCAGTTTTCCCATCTTTGGACAGTGGGAGCCTTTAAACATGAGCATTTTGATTCCTTAGATCTTTGATGTGATGCTAATCATCTTTGATAGCGATCTAGTGTTACACAATACTCCAGGATCATCTCATGCATTTTCTGCCTCAGACCTAAAATCAGTTATTTCTCTAAGAAGTCTTGGTTTCTTTCAGTGAAAAAGTGTGTTTCAAAACCACAGTCTAGTGCTAGAAATGATCATTGCTACTGCTTGCTTAGTTATTATTTCTGGGTCTTTTCAGTGGATAAATTGTGTTTATTATAAATTGTGTGTGTGTGTATATATATATGTATATGTGAGCTTATATATGTGTGACATGTATGTATTTTTATATATGAGATAAAATACTTCATGAGTTCATTTTCATGCTTCCATATTTATTCTTTATTTGGGGGCATAGAGGAGGGATAGGCTGCCCACTCCAGTATTCTTGGGCTTCCCTGGTGGCTCAGATGGTAGAGAATCTGCCTGCAATGTGGGAGACCTGGGTTCGATCCCTGGGTTGAGAAGATCCCCTGGAGGAGGGCATGGCAACTCCAGTATTCTTGCCTGGAGAATCCCATGGACAGAGGGGCCTGGTGGGCTACATGAGGTCACAAATAGTTGGACACAACTAAGTGACTGAGTATACCTAGAGCTTTTCCTTAACCTCTTCTCTGTCATATTCACATACTTTTTCTTCTCCACTGATAATCCTGGTTCTTCAGCATATAGGGGATGATTTAATTATAATGTCCCATAATTAGTCATTTTGTATCCATATTACACAGAAGTAAAATAATAAAAATACCAATACTATTGTAGTGTGATTCCTGAAAACATTAATGTTTGGGGCAGACTTCCCATTTGCTCTCCAATTTCTGCCTGTTTTTAAAATGGATATGTTATGTGTTCATTGTCAGAATACACGGTTACTGCATTATACGCTCTCCTCTCGGACCTCATTTATTCTTGGTTTGCAGGTAACTATAAATTTAATGCTTCTCATTGGTCTTCATGTCAGTGTCTCTCTCATCATTTTGATGGTCTGAAGCTTATATTCTAATAGATCTCTTATTTCTAGTAGATCCCAAAAAGTACTCATGAGAGTAATATTCTCTGAGATTCTTGTTAATAACAGTTTGTGCCCTGTATATTTAAAAGTCTGATTTGTATTGCTGATCCCTATGTTTTACCATTTTCTTGAAGTCTTTTACCTAATTCTGAAATTAGTTACAATTTTGTTTTGTAAGCTTGTTTTTCTGGCATTTAGGGATGTTATTCTGCTTATTTTCTTTTCCATTATAATTTTTATGAGATTTGACCCGTTGCTCATTGATATACAAATTCTTTCCCCTGAATTTTTAAAAATGAGGCAGAATTTAGGAAATCTTTTCTAATTTCACAGAGATTCATATTTGTAATTTTTGCATAGTGTTCAAAACAGTAGTGGGATTTCTTGTTTCTGTTTTTCCTGCTTTGTTCTCGACCATCTCTTTTCCTCATTCCTGTTCTTACTATTCTGTTCACTTTTACTTCACCACAACAGTTTTTCCTTCTTATTTGACCCTGGCCTGGGAGCCCTGGGGGGTCGGTTTGGGGAGTTGCTTAGGGCTAGCCTGCCCCAGCCTCGTAGGCAAGCCCTCTGTAACCTGTACTCAGCTTTAGAGAATGGAACATCTTCCCAAATATAGCTGCTGATCTCCAGGTAGCCCATTGTGCTAGAGTCTCCTGTTCTCAGATCCATCAGATGCCACCTTGCCACTTCCTTCTTCCTTCACACAGGCCCTGGTGCCTACAGAGTGTATAGCTACTAGTGAGCTGAACCTAGCTTCTTGTATTTTAGAGCTAGTAGGAATGTCTTGTCATCTGATTTTGTTGTAAGTGTTGTCCTTGGCTTTTGGTTTTGCAGTCTAGTTGCTCTCATGTTTTAGAGCTAGAAAAACTGCTTCCCCTTACCATCATCTGCTGACAGTCTGATTAGTGATTTTTGAGTTACCATTGCTTTCAGAAGTGTCTTGATATATTCCCCCAAAAAATCACCAGAAAGAATCTGATATTTTGATGTAGAAACCTTAATAATTGTGTTTGACAAAACAAGCTTTCTTTTGTGGTTTTTAGTCATCTTCATTTAAAAGTTCATTATGATACATATTTTGATACCCTTGCCCTGCTATGGAAAAGTAGAGCCTTCCTATGTAATTTTTCATAAACTGAAACTGCATAAAGCAAAGAAGAAATTACCTTCGGATACATCTTGTTAATGGTTGCACAAGGTAAGTCCAGGGAATGCACAGATACTCACCAACACAATTCAAAGTTCTGATGGCCTAATGCTGAGATGCTGAGTGTTATTCCTGGTAAAGGAGCTTGGCAGAGCCACGCTTGCTGCCGGGGAGCATGCTGCCTCTTCAAGGTCTGGCGACAAACACTGTTTCACTTTTTGCCCTTTTTCATAAAAGTGAAAATCCTCTTTGGATTTCTTTCTGTTAGAGTAAGAACAGGTACTAATGTAAGTCTTTCAGAAAAGCTAAGTGATAAAAAGCAAATATTCAAGAAGTAGGGGATACCGATACTGGACTATCCTTTGTTTTGTGTGCAACAATTAGATTTTAGGTTTGAAGAATTATTGCATGAACGTTTGTTTTAAAGAGCAGCCAAGTTGTTGTTGTTGTTTTACTATATAAAAGATGTAATAGTTTGTGTGGAACTCATTCTATTTTGAAGGTATATCATGTGTCATTAAAATTAAGAACAATATCTGAGTCAATTTTTTACCAGAAGAATTCTTTGGCAGGTTTAAACTATTGCTGTATACACCCTAACTGATATTTCAGAATTTAAGGAGAATATTATCTTGGTTGCTCTTTTAGTCATTTAACATCTTGTTTTCTCATGATTGGCGATTCTGACTGAGAGAGTTTCAGGGCTGAAAAAGCACAAGTGTTGAGGGCATAATTGAGGTTCACTGTCAGAGGTGTTTGAGGGAGCTTTTATAGACTTCAATTCTAGCCTTCTCTTTTAATGACCACAATTTAAAAGTAAATTATAGGTGCCTAGAAGCAAAGCAATAAAAAAAAAAAAAAGTAGCCATTTTTAAACTTCTTTTAGATAAAAGCTGTAAGTTAATTTTTTTCATTTCCTAAAAACCTCCAAATCTTGACAATCTCTGGGCATATGTACAAAAAAGACAATATACAAACAATAAAACTGAACGAAGCTGACCAAACAAAACTCCCTGGTCATAAACCCCATGCTCCTACCTCATAATTGTAATCAAGTACTTGTTTAAAGGAACAGATGAGGTTAGCTCTACTTTTAAATTAGTAAACTTTTTTTTTTACATCAACAGAGATGGCAAATTCATAGAAACAACCTTCTACAATGACTTTCCTCATTTCACGCTTAAATCTAAAAATTATTACCTGATATCAGAAATTCTTATATGAGAGGGAAGAGTCATTTCTAAGTTAATAAGAGTTAAAAAATATATTTGAACTTTTTTCAATTTTTAAAAAAAGAATATTGAGATATTGACATATAAACTCAGTGTTTTTCTTGATTAAAAATAAAATAAGCATAACCTGTTTTAAATGTGTTGCTGATAATTTTTAAAGTATATCTTGAACTATATTGTTTCATCATAAGACACCAGTTAATAAACATCAATTACTTCATAGATGGTGTTCAGGAGGTGGCTTACATTCACTCAAACCAGAATGTGATTGGATCAAGCAAAGCTGAAAATCACATGAGTCGATGGGCAGCACGTGATGTATTTGAACTGAAGCAGTTTTCTCAGCTTCCTGCTAACATAGCTGTTTGCACTTCTAAGGTAAGAAGATAATATACCTCTAGTTTTTATATCATTTTCACAGAAGTTCCTTGATAGGATCTTCTCTAAGTACCCCCTCAAAAGTACCAACAAGATTATAAATGACTTACAAATAAGTGTAAAAAGCAAAATACTATTTGGGGCACTGTATTCACAAAATGTTTTATATTAAAAGACAAATCTGTATCTAAATGCCTAATAATGTTGAGTTGCTTAATAATTTCCTTAATGAAATTTTGCCAAAAATGAGGACTCTGAGGGAATTAGTTGAATCAGAACCAAAACTACTACTGCTTATATGGAAAAAGGAAAGTGTATCATCAGATTTCTTCCATAATTTTTCATCTAAAATGAAGACACATACAAAAACTACATCTAGAATTTGTATTTTTAACAAAAGGATTTTTTTTATTAATTTTATTTTTTATTGACGGATAATTGCTTTACAGAATTTTGCTGTTTTCTGTCAAACCTCAACATGAATGAGCCATAGGTATACAAATATCCCCTCCCTTTTGAAACTCCCTCCCATCTCCCTCCCCATCCCACCCCTCTAGGTTGATACAGAGCCCCTGTTTGAGTTTCCTGAGCCATGGGCTCTTCTCATTTAAAATTGCTGCTTTATAGAAATATGGCTTTTATGAAAGTGATATTTTATTTACACACTTACATCAAAAGTTTAAAAAGTATCTTCTTCTCTTTGGCTTATTCAGTTCAGTCATTCAGTTGTGTCCAACTCTTTGCAAGCCCATGGACTACAGCACGCCAAACTTCCCTGGCCATCACCATCTCCCAGAGCCTACTCAAACTCATGTCCATTGAGTTGGTGATGCCATCCAACCGTTTTATCCTCTGTTGTCCCCGTATCCTCCCACTTTCAATCTTTCATAGCATCAAGGTCTTTTCCAATGAGTCAGCTCTTCACATCAGGTGGCCAAAGTATTGGAGTTTCAGCTTCAGCATCAATCAGTCCTGCCAGTGAATACTCAGGATTGATCTTTTTTAGGATGGACTGGTTGGATCTCCTTGCTATCCAAGGGACTCTCAAGAGTCTTCTTCAACCCCACAGTTCAAAAGCATCAGTTCTTCTGCACTCAACTTTCTTTATAGTCCAACTCTCACATCCATACATGACCACTGGAAAAACCATAGCTTTGACTAGATGGACCTTTGTTGGCAAAGTAACGTCTCTGCTTTTTAACATGCCTTCTAGGTTGGTCATAACTTTTCTTCCAAGGAGCAAGCATCTTTTAATTTCATGGCTGCAGTCACTATCTGCAGTGATTTTGGAGCCCCCAAAAAATAGTCTCTCACTGTTTCCCCATCTGTTTGCCATGATGTGATGGGACGAGATGCCATGATCTTGGTTTTCTGAATGTTGAGCTTTAAGCCAACTTTTTCACTCTCCTCTTTTACTTTCATCAAGAGGCTCTTTAGTTCTTCTTTGCTTTCTGCCATAAGGGTGGTGTCATCTACATATCTGAGGTTATTGACATTTCTTCCGGCAATCTTGATTCCAGCTTGTGCTTCCTCCAGCCTGGCATTTCGCATGATGTACTCTGCATATAAGTTAAATAAGCAGGGTGACAAAACACAGCCTTGAGGTACTCCTTTCCCAATTTGGAACCAGTCTATTGTTCCATGTCCAGTTCTAACTGTTGCTTCCTGACCTTTGGCTTATTATTCTTTCTTAATTCCTGAGAGCTAAATGTCTGAAGAGTAGTTTTTCTACCACTTTATGTGTACAAGTGGAAAATTGGTATTGCATGTAACAGTGACACTCTGTTTCAAGTTAGTGCTACTTTTGGAGTGAAGTGGATAAAATACCTCTGAACTGTCAAGCTATCTTCATTTATTTGTACCCCATCTGGTTTGGGGGCTATCCAGGTGGCACAGTCATATAGAATCTGCCTGCCAATGGAGAAGATGTGGGTTCGATCCCTGGGTTGGAAAGATCATCTGGAGAAGGAAATGGCAGTCCACTCCAGTATTCCTGCCTGGAATATTTCATGGACAGAGGAGCCTGGAGGGCTACAGTCTATGGGGTCACAGAGAATTGGACATGACTGAGCACACAAATGCATCTGGTTTGACAAAGATTTTGGATCGTTTTAATTAAATCAGAATAAAAATTCATGACCAAGGAAAATAGAAATTAAGATAGAAGTTCAAGTCTGGGAGGAAGTTAGAATGCAGACATATAAGATTATAATGCAGGTATGTAAGATATACTACACTTACCCAGATACATTTTTTAATGGCAAATTTGATTGAGTCTCCTGGTAGACAACACAAAGGAAGTGAACAATGTATTTAGTATTTTATTAACTAATCCATTTGGAAATGTTGGACAGTTTGGGTGGTCACGATGACAAAATGCCTAACTGGCATTAAAGTCTGGAGGCAGGGCTGTCATGGGGTGTCGGGAGGCCCAGGAGGGTAGGTGGGGAAGCATCCCACATGCCAAGAATTGTTCTGCCCAAAATGCCATAACACCCTACTGAGAAATGCTGAGCTAAATGTCCTTAAAGACAAAAAAAAAGTGAAAACAAACACACACAGAAAAACAGTTCTTCTGAAAAGGAGCAAAGCTTTTCCTAGTGCTTAATTTGAAAGAATTTGTCACCTGGCATTTTGAATGGGGACCACTACATGACAAAAGTCAGTTGTCTTATAATTTCCTTGGTGGCTCAATGGTAAAGAATCTGCCTGCAATGCAGGAAACACAGGAGATACAGTCCCTGGGTCAGGAAGATCCCCTGGAGGAGGGCGTGGCAACCCACTGTAGCATTCTTACCTGGACAATCCCATGGACAGAGGAGCCTGGCAGGATACGGTCCATGGAGTTGCAAAGAGTTGGACACAACTGAGGCGACTGAGCACTTTGTCTTGTAATATTCTTAGAGTTATTGTAATATTGTGCTTTGAAAGGCTATGCTTTTAGCTTTTTTTGATGTAATCCAAAGGCCTAGTTCCAAAATGCAAATCATATAAAAGCACTTTCATGACCCAAGTATGCTACTTTTTTATATTCTCACTTTACTTAGGAGTATACCATATGTCAAGCAGTACTGTAGATAGCATTTCTACAGTTGTACTACCTTGTAGAAGCTATATGAAAAAGGTAGGCAGAAATGTGCTGGGTTTGCCAGAAATTTGCTATACTAAAATGAGGAGCATATCAGAATCTTTTAAACAGACAGCTAATTTTTTTATTAGTTTTTTTTTTCCTTTCTTTTAAACCATGCCTTTTATTAAAACCATGCTCTTTTCCAAACAGATTTTAATGTGAAAGGTCAGAAAACTTGGCAAATTCTGTAGTACATGTTAATGCAGTAATTTCACTGGATATTGGTCACTAACTTATTTAAGTATTTCTCAGAGAAGAAGTTTATCGCCATATAATACCTCCCAAAATGGATCAAGAAGCAGTAAAAAGTCCCTCTGGAACCTTCGTAAGGAAAGTTGTAAAAACAAACATGGTGGAAATACTTTTTGTTGTTTGCTGTTTCGTTGTTAAGTCATGTCCGACCTTTTTGCGACCCCATGGACCGTAGCCCGCCAGGCTCCTCTCTCCATGGGCTTTTCCAGTCAAATATACTGAAGTCGGTTGCTATTTCCTTCTCCAGGGGATCTTCCCAACCCAGGGACCGAACCCACGTCTCCTGCACTGCAGGTAGATTCTTTACCCCTAAGCCACCAGGGAAGCCACTGATGGAAATATACTGTGCTTTTAATTGGGAATGGTGGGAAGGGGGTTTCATCTTTACATTAGCAATACTGATAGTTTTCAACCTTTTTTAGCCTGAACATTCTTGAGATGGACAGTACAATCTCATCAGAAACCTTGTTTCTTCACAGTGATGTTCAGAGTGAGGGACATTTCTTGCAAGAGAAACAATTGGAGAAACAAATTGGAATACCCTGCCCCTGGAGTGTCTGATGTGCCTTTTGAGGCCATATATCTCCCCCATCACACGCAGACCAATTTAGCAGAACTTTTTCAAGGAATATGAAGAAATCTGGTGTTTAATGAATGAATCATGGTGGGTATAAAAAATACTCAGGGGAGTTTTAAAGCCATTAAGCTGGAAGGCCAGTCCCATGCCACCAATGGTAGCAGGGCAAGAACAGTCTATATAAACATACTCATCTCATCAGCTAACTTCAAATCAGTGCTTGATACAGTAAATTCTGACAGTAAGACTGAGCCCCTCAGGTTTGACTGGTATCGTTTAACACATCAAGTTAGCAGTATCGTTGTCTTTCAACATCTTGAAAGCTGTGTTGTGTTATTTGTGTACAACAACCACTTGAGGACAGAATTATAAACTTTCCATCAAAAAAGAAAGATCTTGGGTATATACTGCTATATATAAAATAGATAACTAATTAGGACCTGGTGTATAGCACAGGGAACTTTTCTCAGTTCTCCGTAGTGACTTACATGGGATAAGAATCTAAAGAAGAAGGGATGTGTGTATATGTATAATTGATGAATCAGCAGTGAACTTCGCTGTCCATCCTTAACTAACACAGCGTTATGAATCAACTATACTCCAACAAAAATTTAAATAAATGAATAGATAGATTCATAAAAAGAAAGGTCTTGATATATGAAAATCAGTTTTCAAAATAGTGATCATACATACTTGGGATGTTCTTAAATTTTCACCAAAGTCGAAAACTAAACCTGTTGTATTTTTTACATAAAACCCAGTCCCTGGACATACCTTATGCTTTTCTCCTTTTAGTTTATTTAGAAATAAATAAAAGAATTCATAAAATGAGACATCTTCAATTTGTTGAGCTCTGTAATCTTCTCAAGGCAGAGGAATTTTGATGGTTATAACTGGTCTATGTCATGGAGTCTATTCAGATGTCAATTTGAATTGTAACTCTACCTGATACTTCCTTTGTGACCATGAAAAAGTTACTTACCTTCTCTGTGCCTCAATTTTCTTGTGCTTAAAATACAAGTAATTATACTTCTTACCTCA